ATTTGAAATATTGGAAACCAGAACAACCAGTATGATAACAATCATTGTATCACATCATCTGACATCCATTGTAACTGCAGTACCACACACTAAGCCAGCCTCTATGGCTTTATTAACGGTGAATAAATCTTTAAATAATGCTTTATGGATTGGTTATAAATGACTAATACACAACATTTGGATTGACAGTTTGTGAGAAATACCATTTGCTGGTTATATCTGCATGTAGAAATGTTTCTGCAGCTATTTTTGAGCATTATTGTAAGCAGAAATGACAAAAACTCATAGGTTCCTTCTCATAAGTGAATATTTGATGGTTCTGGTTGTCTCCTATGATATTACATTTAATATCTGTGGGTTTTGGACGTTGTTCAGCCAAAATAAGACATTTAAATATGTCAATTTCAGCTATTGGAAACTGTGTTGGACATTTTCTTTTACTGTTTTTTGACGTTTTAGGGACCAAATGATGAATTGAGAAAATAATGGAAAGCTGCAGCTCTAAAGTCATCAATAACAGATGAGGGTCTAGGGTGTACCTGATGAGCTGAGGAGCAAGAAAAAAAAATTTGTAAAAGATTTATTAACCAGCAGTAAGGCCATTAGTTTGACAGATAGACTCTTGCTGATAAAGTGTGACTTAAAAGAAAGTGGTACTTGAGCTGCTTCTACATTCAAACAATGTGTTCTTAAGTTTGTGGAGGAAATGGCAGCTGTAAGCATAAAAACTTTGACTCACGAGAAAAACGACCTTTATTCCCAAATTATTTAGCATTTATTGTTATTATTATTATTATTATTTTTTATTTATTTTTTTTTTTTAACATATATAAAGATGAAGTTGTGTCCTGGAACTCTGACAGACCAAAACACTGAAGTTTTATTCACTTGATGCAGACGACACCCTTTTGTTCATGTTAAAGAGAAAACTTCCGAGCCACTCGTTATTGCTTTTCTTTTGATTTTCTGGAGATTCCTGCTGATATTTTGGTGTCGATTAAATGGTGATTGTCGCAGTAGAGGGAAGTTGATCAGTTTGTGCTTATTTGACAATTATGTGATGTTTTGAGACATGTTTTTATGGTAGAAGAGATGTGTTTGCTTTTGACTTAGAAACAGTTAGAAAGTGATGCAGGTCAATGGTTATATATGGCGTGAGGAGCACCAAGTATTATGGTTTGTACATTTTAAAGCCACTGACTGTATGTATGTGCTGCTTATAGACCTCTGTAAAGCCATGTTTCAATGCAGAACGTGTGGGTGTGGCTGTGCGTGTGTGTGTGTTTAAAAGTGTTTAAATATCAATATTTGTTTTTTGATGGAACTCATTTCCCAGAATGTATTATTCTAGAACAGAAATGTATATCGACGAAGTAAAGCTAAGTTTAATACTATATTTAAAGATTTAAATTACGTCAAATGTAGTAATTAGAATATTTGATGGTTATTTTGTTTGGAGCACAGGTGGTTTGAATTTACTGTAAAATAAAGACGATGGAAACCAGATTGTTTGTTTGTTTGTTTTTTCCCCTTCCAGTTTCGTGTGCTGCTTACGTTCATATTTAATTTAATTTTACATTCATATTTAATTTACCTTCAATATTGTTAAAAGTCATTCTTGTTACATTAATAAGTTAATAGAATAATTTAGCTCAAAAGTACACCCCTTTTACTTAAGTCTGCCCTATCCCCCTTTTAAGCACAGTGCACTTTTTTGCAACTCTTTTTAATTAGGTTTTCTGAGTGAAACACGCAGTTGAATAGTAGGACGATGTATTTTAAATAAAGGACATAAAAACAGAAATAAATTATAGTTTACAGGTGAATTATCATAAATGTGTGGGGGAAATGCAGTATTGCAAATAAGGCCCTGTTTGCATTACTTCAATTCCTTGCGAGGCAAAGTCTAATACAGCACAGTGAAACTGTAGAGCACAGTGTAGGCCTACTTTTATTGAAAAATAACATTAAGACTTGATATTTTTTCAGTAATTAAACAGTTCTTGGTGTGTTGGATATATGCCGAATTTACGAGTGCCTCTTACAGAATAGAAAAAAATCGATGGTTGTGCTTATTACATTACTATTATGAACTTAAAGCAAGGGTGCATGAACTTTAGGATTTTTTGAATGGAGTTTGGTGTAGCCCCACTCAATGGACGTCATGTGGATTGAATCCAGCTGTTGCACTTGCGCGCATCGTTACCTTTAAGATGCTCCAAGGATAAAGCCTTGTTTTAGCTTAACCCGACACCATTTTAGCTAAGAGACGTCCCGGTGACCGGGCGTGTTTTTTTGTTTTTTTTTTTATTTAGATGCACCGGTGGATATTTTTTACTTTACGCGAAATCGAAGCGGGGGTAATGAACAGGCCGAGCTGATACGTATAAATGTCGGATTTCATTATTTGTCGGCCTACCCGTGAAGTGGCGGCGGTGGTGGCGGGGGCGAGGGACGGCACGAGACGAGACGGGGTCCGCGAGGAGGGTGCATACACAAAATACTTTCCCTTTAAAGCGGAGAGGGACAGAGGGGGTGAAGGAGAGATTAAAAAAAGAAAAGGAAGAAAGACCGAGAGGGAGGGAGGGCGGAGAGAGAGTTTGAAAAAAAGAGAAAGATGTCATCCTGTCGATTGAAACACCGAGGCGGAGCCATGGACCGCGGCCGACCAGGAGCTCTCTAGTTAGGGGACGAGCTGTACGCAACGCCGAGGCTTGGGACCCGACGCTGCGGCCTTTTTTTTCCTGGAGCTATCGCAAAATAAATGACTCCTGAACAGCTGCTATGATTAGCACTACATCCTCTTCTGTATAAAATACTCTCTATTTTGCATGCAATTCACCATTTTTTCATTACAGTAGACATAAGCAAATGATATTAAAAAATGCACCATTAAAGCAAGCATGAACCATTTTGTCGCATTTACAAAAAGCATCTTGTCAGTGCCTGTTTAATGCCAAAAGATTGCCATATTAATTCATTACTCATAGCAGCCGAATGACTAATAAGTGTTAGCCGACTTAAGCTAAATATCGTACGCTGTCATTATATATTTTCCATTAATTAACCTGGACAGGAAGAGAAGAGATAAAGGCCTCAGATTTTGTTTTCATAGCAGCAGTTGGAGCGTTTCTTCCTCGGCTCCGTTCCCCTCCTCCCTCCCCTCTTTGCTCCCGGGCTGCTTAGCTGTTAGACCCCGGCTGCAGTGTTCAGGATGGATACCTCCTGGAGTAATTTCCTTTTTCAGGTAAGTCTTATTTGATGCTGGAGCTGCTTTGTGGTTTTGGATGTTTTTGGGGAGGGGAGAAGAGGAGGAGGAGGGGGTTGTTTGACATTTCTGTATGGGGTTACAGAGGGAGGGGGAGGTCACAGAGGGGTCAGGGTAAAGCTGGCTTTTGGGTTGGTCCTCCCCAGCAGGCAGGTTGGATCACATGTAAACACACAGACATGTTCCCTGTCCAGTGATGGAGAGTAACTAAGTACATTTACTCAAGTACTGTACTCAAGGACAATTTTGAGGTAACTGTGCTTCACTTGGGTATTTCCATTTCATGCTACTTTATAATTCTATTCAACTTCATCACAGAAGTACATATTGTACTTCTTACTCCACTGCATTTATTTGATAACTTAGGTTTACAGATTAGTGATACAAAAAATAAAATATAATGTGTTATTATAGGTTAAGCTACCCAGCAGTATAAGGAAGTTAAAATTAACACATTACTTTAACTTGCAACAAAGTACTTCTTAACTGAGGTAATGCTACCTTTACTTAAAGGGACAGTTCACCACAAAATTAAAAATAGGTTATATAAAAATACATATTTTACCTCTTACCTATACTGTTATTGATCACCCTAGATTGTTTAGTGTAAGTTGCTGGTTGTTGGAGATATCAGCCATAGCAATGTCTGCCTTCTCTCCAATAAAATAGAACTAAATGGTGCTCAAATTGTGGTGCTCAAAGCACCAAAAAAGTACATTTGAAAAACTCAACAGCAATGTCTCTTTCCAGAAATCATGACCCAAGATAAGACTCAAGATAATCCACAGGCCTTCTTGTGAGCAGTATCATATAAGAACTATTTTCTTCTTACCAAAGTACACCTGCCAACTGTGTCACTGCGCAGAAGGAGGCGTGCACTCACTGCTAGCTCAGCTCAACCACTAGCACCACAGAGCCAGCTAACATTACAGCTCAGCCAAGGGGCACACCATTAATGTTTACATCTCGCGCTGTCACGAGCATGACCCAGTCGTCCACAAGTAGATGCCCACCTGCTTCTGCGGGGTGATGCGTTTGGCGGGGTGTAGTTCAGTAGAAAGAAATTAGTTACTACTTAAAACTGTTTTCAACACACACTAAACACACAAAACTGGTGTGTGTCATAGTATTGCAGATTTCTATTTTAAATAAATTGTGCTCAGGTATGTGACACTAGTTGACAGGGACTCATCCTGGACCTTTTTGGGGCCCCTGGACGTCTGGGGTCCTTTTGCACACTTTGCCTGGTTGGTAATCTGTTCTTGGTTTTTATTTAAGTGTCAGGTCTTGTCTTGCACATCAGTTACATAGAAGCAGTCATTGGCAATGAAAGTCTGAGATCTCAGGCTCCCTTCAACAACACCAAGTTACAAAACACACAATTAGAATGAAAATCCAAGACATGAGACATAAAATAGTGCAACATTAAACTGTAGGAGTAAAATACAACATAGATCAAATAGAATAAAATAGTCGAAAATACAATACTGTGGTAGACGAAAATACATATGTAAACTGCGGTGTCTGCAGGTATAAACAGGTACACAATTTAGGTATTGACAGAGTTGATGCAACTAAAAAATGTTTTATTATTGATCTGCAGATTAATTTCTCAAGAAAGTGATTAACTTTTAAGTCAATAAAACATAAGAAAATAGTGCTATTTGGACTGAAAAAA